CCAGCACACAGGGGACGGCAGGCCATATCGGCGTCACCGTCCACACACAGGCTGTTCCAGGTGGCTGCACGCTCCCGTCTGCGGCGTCGGCCATGTCGGCAGCCCAGGTGGCTGTTCCACCTGGCGGCACGGTCCCGTCAGCGGCATCGGCCATGCCGCCAGCCCAGGTGCCTGTTCCAGGTGGCGGCACGGTCCCGTCAGCGGCATCGGGCATGCTGCCAGCCCAGGTGCATGTCGACGACGACAGCGGAAGTGCAGGATGGGGCTCAAACGCGGTTGCCCCTGATGAGCTAAACGGCGGTTGGGGTGTGGTTGTCACCCACGGGCCGATCGGATGGGCGGAGATCGCCGCCACGTACAGCCACTTTGAATCGTGGTCCAACCCTCCCACGCCTAATGGGTATTTGATGTCGCCACCAACGTCCGATGAGGACGCGGGGAGCGATAACGAGGACGACAACGAGGCGGGGAGCGATGGCGACGACAACGACGACAAGGCGGGCTTTGACGGCCACGACGAGGCGGGGAGTTCATTTTTGTAAAGACTTTTTCGTGTTGCGATGGTGTTGTAAGGTGATGATGATGACGGTGACGTTAACAACGACATCGTCACGCTGATGAGTCCTGAAATGGTCGAACACCAGTGTACTTTTATGTTTTCATTCTTTGTTCTGTTTTCATACATAGACACGCTGTTTTCATATTTTGTATAGCTTACAACACCTTTTCGTTCCCACGAGGGCTGACGGTTTCGTTGTCCGGGGAGAGAGACAGAGTGATCGACAGCGGAGAGGGAGAGAGAGATTAGGACGATGGCACGATGTCCATTCATGTTTTTGTTATAATGGATCAACGATCGTTAAGGGCGGCTGTTCTTTTTTTTTTTTTTTTTTTTTTTTTTTGTGTGTGTGTGTGTGTGTGTGTGGTGAAAATTTTTTTTTTTTTTATGAAGGAAGGCTGCGGCGACACAGTCTGTCTCCTTATGCACATGTGAGCGACTAAGCTCAAATGAAGAGTCTTCACCCGCCAGCAGATGAGCACTGCTTTGGAATATAGAGAGATGGCGCAGATACTTAAGGAAATGATAAGCACAACGCGCATAAGGTGAAGAAGTAGCACCACGAGACGATAAGAAACTGAAGGTGAAGAAGACGGGTAACAAAAAACCAACTCGCAAAAAAAAAAAATTGAACAAAAAAAAAGAAAAAAAGAAAAAAAAAAGACACCAACAAGATTAACATGAACAACGTTGAAATTGGCTTTAAAACACCGTCGTTTCGCAACCCCGTCATTTCGCAACTCTCTCTCTCTCTCTCTCTCTCTCTCTCTCTCCCTCTCTCTCTCTCTCTCTCTCTCTCTCTCTCTCTCTCTCTCTCAAAGGTGCTATGTGTCTAATCAAATGGTTTTATATGGGGCCGGTTGCAAGCCCGTGATTTCGCAATAGTATGCAATCTCTCTATCACACTCTTCCCAAAATGAAGGTGGATATTGGTCGATCTCGTTCTTGAATTCCATAATTGCGATCTGTCTATCCTTTTCGGCCATGGCTGCGCGAATCTCGTCGCAGGAAGCACATGATGACGTGTCACTCGTAGAAGCCTCCCGCCCTTTCCCCTTAGACGACAAAGTCATGGTTGCGAATTCTGTACTCAATTCGTTGTCCGGGGCCTTCCCTCCACAACCGCCCCCGTGAACCACTTCGTCGTAAAACCTCCATGCCGTTTCAACCTGGTCACGTGCCACCCGTAACTCTTCCTCCGCGGACTCCAACCTTCGCATGGCATCATCTCTCTCTCTCTCTGCCTCACGCAATGCACGGGATGCTTGATCGAATCTCCCCCGCATGTCTTCCGCCCGCAGTCTCCATTGATCAACCTGCCGCCGTATCTGCATGTTGTTGACAACAAGATCGTCACAGCATTGCCGCAACGCGTTCTGGGAGTCACGCAGCCCCCTCAACACTGAAGATGCCCATCTACGGGCATGTATGTTCTCCAGAGAGATGTCGCTTTCAGTTACCGACCTCCCATTCCGCAATGTAACCGTGATGCTATCTCCCCTTTC